TGTATTCAATGGTCTCGTTCCCACCTTGGCGTATTTCCGCCCGTCCCTAACGCGCTACAAAATGGTCCACGCCTGAAAAGGTACATGTACTACTTTGGGCCGTTTTGTTGCGCGTTTCCATTGGGATACAGCCAAGAAGCCTTCGAAAACGCGCAACTTTTTTACCGCGAATCACGGTAAAAAACGCGCGATGGTCGTGCGACAGACGCGCATATGCAATACGCCTAGGTGTGAACGAGACCTAAGAAACAGGTTGCTCATTATTTTCCTGTTCCACAAAAGCACTGCATAGGGAAGGTATGACGTGTTCTTCACAGCAAGAAAGATTTAAAACAGGCTCAGCTGTAGATCCTCAAATCATCTCTGAATTGGTGCCGACACTGTCCTTCCTTCTGGAAGGTGGCTACTTTTGTTCCCCGTGGTCCCTATATGTGTTGTAACGTATTCACCACTCCAAGCTGGATCCTGTGATGGACTACATCTCACATTTAGTTTCCCAATTTGTTTTGAGATTGTAGTCCATCACGGGAGCAAGCTTGGAGCGGTGGCTACTTTACAACACACATAAGCACCATGGGGCACAAAAGTAGCCACCCTCCAGAAGGCATGGCCCACACAAAGCACAGCAAAACATTCACTTTAAAAGTACACCTCCACAAACAGGAAAGCCATGCATAAGCTTCAAGTCACAGCCTACATACACTGAGTGGCCAGATTATTATGACCACCCCATCAGTACTTCGTTGGGCCACCTTTTGCCTTCAACACTGTGGCGATTCTTTTTGGCACTGACTCCGAGATGTTGAAAGGTGATGCGAGGAATCTGACACGATGCCTGATGAATAGCACTGTCCAAACTGCAATATGCATGATGCAACTGGAAACGTGATTTATCGGACCACATGACTTTTTCCAATGCTCGACTGTCCAATCCTTGTGTTCCTGTGCGAATTGGAGACGTTTTATCTTGTTAACTTGTTAACAGGTGTTCGAATAGGCCTTTAGCTTCCATATCCCATACGATGCAATGTACGGTGAACAGTGCGTTCAGAGATCATTTGAGAGGATTAAGATCTGCAGTAATTTGATGTACTGTTGCCCCTCTGTTGTCTTGTACCAGTCTTTACACTCTCCGTTCTGCCCTAACATTGACTAGTCGCTGACGGCCACAATTCGCACGTTCAGACCCAGATTTGCGGCTGACAGTCCAGTCTTTAAACACTTTAACAACAGCTGCTCTTGAACATTTAACAAATTCTGCTGTTTTGTGGATACGCGCGCCATGGCTCAGAGCACCAACAATCATCCCACGTTCAAAGGCTGTTAAATCGCGACGTTTACCCATATCTTCAGAAAAAAAAATCACTTCTACTGTCGTGGTAAACAACCTGCTTCCCTATTTATAATGGTCTGGCCCTCTAGCAACTTCAGCGCAAAACTATAGCTAATTTGCCTACAAACGTCAGGTGGTCATAATAATCTGGCCACTCAGTGTAGAGCTATCAACAACCCTGTGGGACAGTGCCGCTTGCCCCGAGCTGTCACAAGCAGTGAGTTACAAGACCCCATCCCCCCCCCATGTCTGGGTTTTTCCTTTGACTCCTGACAATGAACAGAACTGGCAGCGGAAAAAGAAAGGGAAGTAATTACTGCTGGGGTTGAGGGGAAAAAAGCAAACCCTTGCCCTCAATGAGTAAAGCACAGTTTTGCATTAAAAGGCAAACAGGGAAAAACAGTTCAAATAGATACGATTTTGGTTTTATCTGCCAAATGATTCATAATTTTAGCTAGCCATTCTCACACACATCTTCGCTAATCAGGTTGATCACTAGTCCCATTACTGGTTAGTTCCCTGATCAGTGGTCAGTTGCGACGATGGGGTTTCATTACACAATGATCAAAGTGGAGTGACAGGTGACAAAGGAAACCACATAGCTGCTCCAGGGAACAGGCATGTCACCCGTCTGTCTGTGCATTGTGCAAATAGTATCTGATTCACAATACTGGCGGTTAAAAATTTTAAAAACCTTTGCCAGGTAAAATAATAAACATAAGTATCTCAATTGCGTATTTTGCCCTTAGCCTGGAGTCCCACTTTAATTATACTACTACCAATCAGCATTATTTACTACCAGGCTTCATGACTTTCAACGCTCATTAGGGGATTGTGTTCCTTAAGAGTGACAATCACTTATTTTACACTAATTCACTTGATTGTCACTTTCTAACTAGGACTGCATACGCAGTCACAAAGATGAAAGGGTATTTAAATATCACTCCAGTAAATAAGGGCTTAAACAATGGCAAAGACATAAAATACACTAAAGACTATTAGCATAGGAACAAAAGGCATCAAAAAGCAGGAAAAAAAAACCTGTTTCGATCTGACAACTTCCTTCCAAACAACTGTTTTTGTGTTTTTTTTTTGTTAAACATGTCACATTATCAGTCCCAAGAAACATTACGCACACGCTGCACAATCATTTACTTACAATTTCTACTTAGGCCAGAAAGCAAATTGTAACTTTCAATTCATCAGATCTAAGGCTTCAATGTGTTTCACTTCCAACATCACACACAACTCCCTGTTGATTCTACAATTATGAAAGGTAATCAAGATGAATGTGTTTATAATCTCAGGATCTTCAAACTCAGAATTGTTTTATAGTTTGTTTCCGTCGAGATAGATTAGAAACATGGTTAAGCCAATGCAGGATGTACACGGAAAAAGGCTGATAATGTACTGTGATTTAGATTTGCGGGCAAACAGTGCCCATAGGCATTAAATGCCTGTCATCCATAAATGAAAGATCAGACAATAATTGGACCATCTATGGCAATCTGCAGATACCCTAAAAGTACGCACAAATATATGGTGGCAGGTAGATACACGTTAATTGTTAGATGGAAGTGGGTCTATTAATTAGTTTGAGGTTTCAGAAACGGTCGTTGTTTCAGCATACTCGCACATTTATGGCACACTCATCTAACATGTGTGCCCTTCTCCAGTGTTGTGTTTTGCATTTGCGGTCTAGCGCCATCTCCGCCAGCACTTCCAGGATCCTAGGCATCATCTTTAGCAATTGGGTGGCCACTGATGATGCAACTCATCAGTGGCTGCATTTGCACAGTAGTGTATCCCCCCACACTTGTCCTGATACAAAAAATAATTTTAACCAAAAGTGTATTTAACTGTGCTAAGAAGCACTTCTCATTGATCAGTGTGGTCAGGTGATCGCGCTGACCGAGTGCTCGCAATTTGCAAGTGAAATCCAAAATCCATGGCGCAGGGCTGCACTGGACGGCAGTATGGGGTGCAAATAGTATACCTGTACATGCACAGTGGAAGTACTGTTCGCAAAAAGGTGAGTGTAAGGGGGGAGGGGGTTGTAGGGGAGAGAGGGGACCAGATTTGAGCGGGTAATTCCATTTTGCCAAATTACTTTGGAAAGTGAACTTCCCTTTTAAATGCACATTGTGTGTGTGTTGGAGAGCGCCACTACCACAATGTCTCACACAGTGGAATGGGGGCAACACATAATGCCCTACATGTGCATTTATTTGCATATAGATGGCGGGGTTTATTTGAATTTGTTTAAATTTCTCTTTATTTTATTATTTTTTGCTTTCACTTCTTTTACATTTTTTAATCTTATTATTTATAACTCTTACATTGTATTATTTTTTAAAATTTTATTTGTAACTTTTTTTCCCACTTAACTTTATTGCTATCACACAGGAGCTAATAAGCCTGTGTGATAGCATTTGGAGGTGACAGGTTCTCTTTATGGAACTTGTCACCTCCGATACAGTGCTGTACTCAAACTCCTGTGCAGCTAAGGCAGGAAGGCTATGAATACAGCTCTCCTGCCTCACTGTTAACACGAAGCAGACCGGAGAACAGGCATTCTCCACTCTGCTCCTCATCCTGATGTAATTTGCGAGGACCCGGGTCCCCCAGGAGACCTCAAAAACCACGGTGGAGAGGGAGGAGGCCGGGGGGAGGAAACGTCGTGGGGCGATAGGAATTCGACACCCCTGAGTGTACACAAAAAATATAAAAAATCACTGGAGGAAATAGGAAAACGTTTTTTTTAGCAGAAGAGACTTTGCATGTCTTTACGGCAAAAAGTCCTACAATTTTGTTTGGATGCACCAACAGTTGAATGGACTTTAAACCCTTCATGACCCAAACAGCATCTAACTCCCCAGGACTCCTTGTCAGAGCTCTGCTGACAGCAAAACTACTAGCAGACTTGAATATGCAATGGGTTAATGGCGAATAAAAAAACAGAGTGACTGTCTATTCACACATTCCGATTCTCTTTTAACTTATCAGTTTCAGGAGGTAAAATTTCAATCTACTCCAGACGAAATATACTAAGCCTGAACAGACCAAGTTTGTCACCTACCCCTTCCCTCTAAGCTGCTTACTACAGCGGGAGGGGCCAGAGAACAGGGGAAAATATAACGGGGAAAAAAAGAGAAAGAAATGTTAAATGAAAATGCCAAACACTAGCAGACAGCACTTGTTTGGCTGATTAACTCCAAGACAAGCATTACAAATAAATCTTAGCAAGGACAGTCACAAATTAAATTCCAGAGCTTTTAAGTACAACAAAGAATTCCGAAGCAAGGAGGATTAAGCAACTTTACACCCAGGAATGATGCTTTAATTTAATTGTTCCGAGACTGCAGATTCATTATGCAAATATCACTTTTGTTTTAAATCCTGACCGCATTCCGCACATGTAGAAGACAGATCCTCTGCAGAGATGAAACTGTGTCTCCTGATCTATAATTACGGTGATAAAAGTGTGCATATTTAGCAGGAGAACTAAATGTATCTCCCCCCCCCCCCTCATTCCCATTATTATAACTATATTCTATTAATATAAATGAGAGGAAGTGTAATTAGAGGTTAAAATATTAAGTGTGTTCCAATTAAACATCTCGCACAAATGACATTGTGATTAAAGAACTACAGTTAACCGCCTCACCTCCACAATCTTCTGGGCCTCCGCGTATTTTCCTGTTTCGATGAAGGCAAATAAAAGGGTGAGGAGCATTTGCCTTTCCCCCAAAGCGTCACTTATGCCATCCACAGCTGTTGGGAGGCAAACAAAAAAAAGTTGTATTATGTAATTTGTTAAAAATTTATTTAAATTATGATAAATGCATAATGGTTAAAGAACCACTTTATCGATCATAGTTATTGCTGTTTTGGGTCACGGACAAGAGGGCAAAGTCCACTATCAAACCTTCCCTGTTGTCACCACACTGACTAGGCCATGATACGCAACCCTTTTCACCAGTCACTGCCCAAAATCCTATGGCTTGCTTGCTAGACGAAGTGCGCCTTTCAAGTGTATGCACAACAGGTATACATGTAGAAAGTCAAGAACCTAGGCAACAAGCAACCGTGTGTCAAAGACTAGCTTTTTGAACCCTTTAAAGCAGATTGATAATTTAACTGAATGACTTTTAGCTACCTAAAATATGTTTGTCACCCTTCCTTATTCTTTGTTGCATACTAGCACTGTTAAATCGCCTGCAACGTCTCGGCAGTCACTTCCTGTCTACACACACATCAGTGCATAAAATATGTCAAGGTTTGTTATTGTTTTTTTTGTGATGGTGACAACAGTGGACCATGTCTTTGTAATTTGTGCTGAAATGGTCACTTAGTCTCCGGCAGAAGGGTGTTTGGCAGGTTGACAACGCAAGAGAACAATTGGGAGACAAGGTCAGAACGTTGTCTCCTCATAATAAAAATGCGTGAACAAAAACCTTCTTTGTAGGATCACCAGATGTTATTGTCATACAGGTGACATTTAAAAATGACTTGAAATAACACGGTGAAGCATGCATGAGCTTTCCATAACTAGGTTCAAGTATACTTTAAACGGAACTGTACTAAGAAAATACATACAGTGGCTTGCAAAAGTATTGACCTAGTTGGCATTTTTCCTATTTTGTTGCATTACCACCTGGAATTAAATTGGATTTTTATGTGGATTACATGTAATAGACATACACAAAATATAAAATCAAGAAAATTAGTTGTTTAAAAAAAATTATTAAAAAAACGTTAAAGTGGTGCGTGCATATGATCTGGGGCAACCAATTACCTTCAGAAGTCACATAATTAGTTAAATAAAGACCAGCTGTGTGCAATCTAAGTGTCACATGATATATATATATATATATATTATACACACACACACACACACACACACACACCCCCTTTCTGAAAAACCC